ACGACCCGGTATTGTATGCCGTCTTTGACAGGGGTCGGGAACAAGAGACACTAGTTTTGTCTGACGGTGTGAGAAAGTCTGCAAGAGACCTTTTCAGCAAAGCCGGTGTTGAATTCAGCCACTGTGCCTCTGTTTAACACGGCACCTAAATAATCCTCTGTTGCAAAAGACTGTGAACATATGCTGAACTTGAAATAGGACTTAATCAGATGGGTTTTTTTAATCTGAACTTTTTTTAAAAAAGAAAGGGAAAAAAAGAAAGGAAAAACATACACTGTGAATGGGAGTACAAAGAATGAAAATGAAATTAAATCTGTAAATATTCAAAATAAACAGGCAAGCTGGAAACACGTGGGTTGCAATGGAAACAACCTCTCATTTTTAAGATCAGGCAATCATCGAGAAGGCTAGCAGGCATCTTCGCAAGCTTACAGGCGTTAAAAGCTCGAATCTACAGCACCATGAGTGATAAACTTCTTTTACTGGAGGAAATGTGTTTTCTTTTTTTAAAGGCCCGTCTGAGGGAGGCAGTTAAATGTGCGTTACAACGCTTGGTCCCATGTGTCACCCCACAGTTTTATCTGTGCCAGCTAATTTTCTACCCCCGACATTGTTTTCTTAATCTCAATTAGGACGTTCGCGGTCAAGTTCAAATACAAAGTGCTGAGCTGTGATCCATTCAGCTGCTCCAAGACTCATTTGCAAAATTATTCTCGAGGAAAATGCCCGGATACGCGCGCACACAGGGCACATGCGGCCATAAACCGCAGAGTTTTAAAATAATGACACCCCCCCCAACCAAGTCCTCATTATCACTTGCTACAATTGTGGAGACATTAACGCATTCAGGACCGTTACTACTCCAAGTTTAGGAGCGCCGCGTCGGCTGGGGCTGGGAAACGTCGCCTCTTTCTTTGGGGATGCAGATGAGTCTGGTGCACTTGACGTCTTTTCATGACCCCTGTCGTCCCCCATCCCCCCACCCAGCCCCTCCAGGTCCTCACGGCGCTGTCTGTCATACTGGGCCTGGGCATGGCATTGCCACTTGCCCCACCGAGCGTGGGAATGGGATCGTCCAGTCGTTCACATCTCCTGCACTGCGGTTAACGGAATCAATTAAGCGGGCCCGATCCCCCACCCCCGCCCACCCCAACATCTCCCCAATCCCCTCCCTCCCTCCTGTCCTCCCTCTTCTGCCACCTCCCTCCTGCCTTTACCCCTATTCCCCACCTCTCTCTCTCTCTCTCTCTCTCTCTCTCCATTTTTGTCACTCCAGTATATGTCCTAATTATTACTGTTTGGGATGCCAGCGCCGTTTCCTGGCCGGACTCGATCATGCTGGAATAAGAAGCATGGAGTCGTACACGTGGATTACTACAGAAGCTCTTAATGCCAATCTTTAATGCTCCCCATAAGCTTAAAAACTACATTTAGATTGAAAACAATTTGTAGAAAGTATGAAACAATTTAACATAAGTGTTTCAGTCTAAGGAAAAGTTCAGCGTGCGTGCGTGCGTGCGTGCGTGCGTGCGTGCGTGTGTGTGTGTGTGTGTGTGTGTGTGTGTGTGTGTGTGTGT